GTCTCCACATGGAAATACTCTGCGTCTTAACGGCGCCGGCAACGTTCTCGGGGCGCGCCGGCAACGTTCTCGGGGCACAGCCAACGCTGCCACCACAGCGCCAAAACCCAGTCCCTCTGATTACAATCATAGCGAGACTCGCTCGCTAACGAGTGTCCTCAGGTACTTCGATAGGAAGCAGAGTTCAATTTTCGACTTTTCCAGTTTTTTAGGATGCCAGCTTATAGAACTCGACGAGCTCAGTCTAACAGTGTAGAATTTTATATGAGAAAAGTTCACTCAAATTGCCAATAACAAAAAAAAAACGAAAAAACGCGGTTGTGCTTTTTTCGTTTTTCCGTTTCGTCAGCGATTCTATGGAGCTAATGTGAGCTTTCCAGGATCATTGGCCATAACTCAGATACTGTTCCTCAAGTCATGATATAGCCGATTCAAACCGGAAATCAAGGAAAGAGTGGTCAGTGAACCATGATTTTCAGCCGTAACCTTGCTGAAACCCTATCATGAGAAGTATTAGGTTGTCCGGAATGTTCTGCACGTTTTGTGTTGCTACTTTGAACATTCATTGCTGATTAAAATCCCATAACTGCTGTTTCACCATTGCTTGACGACCCCCCTTTTTTCAAGATTTTTCAAGCATGTGAAAAGAGCACTTCGGACGATTTTTTTCTTCGACTATAAATTGGGGCAATCCGCAATCGAAACAGCTCAACAAATTAACCAGGTGTGGGGGCCCAATAGTGCTAGAGAAAGCACTGTGCGGCAATGGCTCAACAAATTTCGTTCTGGAGATTTCAGCCTTGAAGATGAACCTCATAGCGGTCGACCTAAAGCAATATCTGACGAGGATTTTAGGGGATTTTGGAGGCTGACCCATCCCAAACAGTTCGAGAGATTGCAGAAAAGCTAGGCGTTGGCAAATCCAGTGTTGCAGATGGTCTGAAACGCATTGGGAAGGTGAAAAAACTCGACAAGTGGGTGCCCCACAATTTGAGTGACCGGCAGAAATTGGCACGTCTCGAGGTTTCCTCTTCACTGCTTTTGCGCAACAGAAACGACCCGTTTTTGAACCGAATTGTCACCTGTGATGAAAAATGGATCATGTATGATAACAGGAGACGTTCCGGACAGTGGTTGGATTTCGACGAACCACCGAGGTAATTTTCAAAGCCGAACCCTCACGAAAAAAAGATTCTGGTCACGGTTTGGTGGTCATCGGCTGGTGTGATCCACTATAACTTTTTTATCACCAGGCCAAACCATCACAGCAGAACCCTACTGTGAAGAATCGACGAAATGTACCGAAAATTTTGTCAGCTGCAGCCAACACTTATCAAAAGAAAGGGTCCGATTCCTTTGCATGACAACGCCCGCCCACACGTTTCACAAATCACTATCCATAAATTGAACGAATTGGGGGTTGAAGTTCTACCTCAACCGCCATATTCTTCAGACCTTTCGCCAACCGACTATCACCTTTTCTAACATTTTCAGAACTCCCTTGCTGGAAAATACTTCATCAGGGACCAGGCAAAAAAGCCTTCGTGGATTTCGTGAACTCTCGACCACCCAGTTTTTTTTTTTTTCGACTGCTGTCACATTGGCAAAAGTGTGCTGATTCGAATGGTGCTTATTTGGATTAAATCCGATGAGTGTTAAGAAAGTTATGATCGTTTAAAGTGAAACACTCGAAACGTGCAGAACTTTCCGGACAACTTAATATCAAAACGATCAGGGACTCATGCGCTTTCTGAGTATGCTGGTATTTACGTCTTTAAGACACTTGGTGCGGAGTTTATATTTGGACTGGAAGGGTTTACGACGTGGCCGTGTCCGCAGGTAACGCTTTAGGTTATTGGAAACTCAAACCTGAATTTTCAATGATGCATGGACCTTCCACCTTCCTTCAGTTTTTTGACGTCTTGGAAAAGACGTCAAAAATCTAAAGGAAAGGGATAGTCCATGCATCACTGCAATCGTGTTGTGCAGGGCTATCAAATGGACTGAATTCCAGATCATTTTGACAAATTTGATGGAAGTTATGGCAAAGCGACGATTTTACAAAAATTAGGGGAGTACTGTACGATCCTGGACGGAAATGGAGTGCGCCCCGCATTCAAAAACGGACCAATCGACGGACGGAATAGGACCTCATCCTATTCTCTATCCTTCCCTACACCCACAAGAAGAGCGCCAGTGCAAGTGGGGACTTACACGCGCACAGTCCGTTCCGTTCCGTTCGTCAAATTACGTCTCCCGGCTGCGCCATTTTCACCACTCTCGGAGCCACTGACGTATGCGGAGATGGTACCAGAAAAATAAAATGCTAACTTGCGCATAGTCCGGCTTCCACAAGGGCTGTATGTCACATAGCTCATGCAAATCTGGTTTCAAAACTTGCCGAGAATTTTCTGAATGCTGCTGTGAAGACAGTCTCATTGAGGACTGGGCAGTCAAGGCCCGTATCACAGATTGGAATCGTTTTCATGCAAATGAATATTTTCTGTAGGTTTGGGCGATCATATAAATCCGTGGGAGCAGATTTCCAACCAGGGCTCTAGCGTCGAAATAGTGTATCTTTTTGATAGGTGTGATCCGTGAGCCCTGGGACTGAATTAACTTTCTAGGTACTTTATTCCCGAAAACAACTGCGTTTGATTCACGTGTTCGCATAATCTCCAAGATTTCAGCGCACGCTATAGAAAGAGTTTTTTGAATATTCAATACAGCTAACTCGAGTAAACAAGGACTCTTCGAGTAGAGCTGAAAAAGCACTTTCGAGGCGATATCGCTGACACGGTGCGACTCCTTCATCCTCTTTGGTGGATACCGGCTCTACAGAGGCCCCATTCGCATCTACTGCTTTCTCATTTTTGCATGTAACTCACATATTTGTGTACTTAAGTGAATGACCCCGTAACTAATTGGTTCTAGTGCCACACGTGCTAATTAACCTTTGTTGAGTATCCACTCCGACGGCTAACCAAGCCAGCACGGGGGTAGAGGATCCGGACTTGACCTTAACTGCCGACCAGTTTCATTCATCATGATGTCCAATCCTACTATATATAAACGGCAACGTCTGTCTGTCTGTCTGTCTGTCTGTCTGTCTGTCTGTCTGTCTGTCTGTCTGTCTGTCTGTCCGGAAATTCGGAATCACCTGAAGAGCCAGTTGGAGGGGGCGGGTCAAGGGTGGGTTGGGTAGGGCATGGGCCAAGATGTACGGAACACACATGAACTAAGCTAAGCCCCGCCCACTGTGGGCGGGGCGTGCGCACAGTTGTGAGCTACATAGTTCAAAAATTCGTAGTTCGGTTCTAGAAGATCCCGGAGAGCGGAAATTGTGGGAAACGATAGGCAAACAGTTGGCGGACGGAATGAATGAAGCACACCCGCGATGGGCAGGGCGTTCGCCGAAGTGAACGGTGCCGGGGACAAAAACCCTCAAAACACATCCGAAAAACTCCAGGAAATGGGGAGTAAGTGAAACTGAGCAATGGTTGGGCAGATGAAGTTAGTTAGGGATAACCGTAGGGAGTATACCAAATGGTTGGTGCCGTTTATTCTGCGCTTCCTCATCAGTGACGGGAGTGCCGTATAGAAAATTTTGATGACTGTCTTCTAGGGGGGTATATACAAGCAGTGAAACGGTAAAGTGCGGTAATTCTCAAAACAATTTTTTTTCGACCATTCGGCCGGCGAGGCCGGCCGATCCGACTGGCCCTCCCTCTCAGGGAAAACTTCCCACCGGGACAAGAGTGAAAAAGGCCCTCCAAAGCGGTGCGATCCTTCATCCTCTCTGGTGGATACCGCCCCTACAAAGAGCCCGTTCGCATCTCTTGCTTTCTCATTTTTGCATACAACCTACATACTTGTGTAATGAAGTGAATGACTCTGTCATTACATGGTTCCAGTGCCGCATGGGATGATTATCCTTTGCTACACGAGTATTCACTCTGACAGACAGCCAAGCCAGCCCGAAAAGAAGAAAGTCGGACTTGACATCAACTGTCCATCAGATCCAGTCATTGTACTCTCAT